GGGAAGAGAGAGGCGTGTCTACATCGAGTATCTAACTAAGGAAAGCGTGGATAATCCGACCGGCCCACCTGCACCGGTCATCACTCGCTAGAACTCTCGGCTGGAAGCTGTTGCACATCACAGCAGGTATTTCCATCATTAGCTAGCCATATTGCTGGCTGTACAACATGAGTTTTGAGACAGCTGGTGTATGTGAATTTGTGGATCTTCTAACCAACGAAACAACACATAGAGCTTCGAAGTGGCAACTGAGTTGCATTGTGGCCGTTGTCAAGAACATCATCTGTCACTTTGAAACTACCGAATCACACTCCGGTACCCATAAGATTTATAACGAGCTCTCTGGTCTATCCATGTCGCTGAAACTGCCGCTGTGAAAAACTGGCTGCAGCAGTGGCAAGCAGAGGAAGGGAGGGACCTTTGGTGTGTCTACCAAAAGCCCAACCGACATGCAAATCTGCTTCTCCAAACTTAACAAAAAGCTCGAGTTGCTGACATCAGAGGCTAGTTGGCAGTTCCTGAAAGCCATTGGTGTGCTTGACCCAAACCAACTCTTTACCTTTCTCAGTGATCCATGCAGCTATGCCGACGTTCCAGGCCTGGTTTGCTCCTAAGCTCTGGCAGCAGAATGGTTAATCTTTCAAAAAGGGGCAGAAGAGCTGCATGGAGAAAAATGTAAAGACACACTCGCCTTCCGTGCGGGATGCATGGGAGAACTCCATTGGCACACTGTCGGCCGTTATCTATGCATTCCTGTGAATTCGGTATATATATATATATATATATATATATATATATATATATATATATATTATACACAATCTGTGGTACAGATATTGTGCCATCGGAATCATGGCTGAATAGGAAGACAATATGAATAATAAGAAAAGAGCAACAAGAAATGCTTTTTTTGTCAAGTTTACCACTCACAGTTTTTGAAATTTTTTTCAGTTTGTTCGTTTTTAGGGGGAGGAGGAAGGGACACCGCAACACACTGATGCACACGTCCGCCATTGACATCGATCTTGAGCCATAACTTCCAAGGTTTTCAACCAGCAAGTATCCTCGTCTCTCGGACCCCAACCAGGTAGTCGACAACAACCGGCCGAGGCCAATTGTTTCGTCAACTTTTTCATGCGGCTTCTCCATGTTGTAGGCTGTCCACCAGACCGTCTCTTCCAGCCCTGTCCAGCAAGTGCAAACAACGCACGACGGGGGTAACGCTGGACAGGCATGCACAATACGTGTCCCAACCACCGCAGTTGATGCAGTGAGATGAGCTCCTCGAGCGAGTGGCTTCCACGTCCCAAGACACGCTGTCTAACTTCCACATTGCTTACGTGGTGCTGCCACCACACACGGGCAATGGACCGCAGACAGCGGTGCTCGAAGACGGATAGCCTGCGCAAGTCATCTTTACGAATGGGCCAGGTCTCGCATCCGTACAACAGTACAGCACGAACAGTTGCACAATAGACTCGCCCTTTGATGGAGAGACGAATGTCGTGGCGACGCCACAAATGCCTCAGCCTAGAAAAAGCGAGGCGTGCTTTCGAGATGCGCATGGAAATCTCTTCTCCAACAGCCCCGCCAGCAGTTATGCAACTTCCCAAGTAGACAAAGCTCTCCACAACCTCCAGTGTCTCACCAGCAAGCGTGAGTGCATGCAGAGGCACCTGCCAGTCTTGAAGGAGAGCCTTGCATTTGGATGGCGAAAAGCACATACCATACTTTGATGCTTCAATCGTCAAGCGGTTTAATGCAAGTTGGACGACCTGTGGATCGTCACCCAGCAAGACGATATCATCAGCATAATCCAAATCAACAACTCGACTACCTGGGAGGAGCTCAACGCCAGCGTTCAACGAATCGCTCAGAGCGTTCTTCAGGACATCCTCAATGGCAAAGTTGAATAGGAACGGAGAGATAGGGCATCCTTGTCGAACTCCACTGGAGACCACAAAGGTAGGCGAAAGCATGCCATAAGCCCTAACCCTGCCCGAGGTCAGACTGTATAGAGCGCGCAGTATGGAGACGAACTTCTCGGGGACACCGTTCCTCAGAAGGCACTGCCACAGTACTGTACGATCGACAGAATCGAAGGCTGCACGGATATCCAGGAACACAGCAATCGTTGGCCTCTGATACACATGGCGGAGCTCGAGGATCTGGCGAAGTGTGAAGATTTGATCGATGCAGCCGCGACCAGGGCGAAACCCAGCTTGTTCTTCTCGCTGCAACGATTCGCGTGTTGGGGATAGCCTGCGAAGTATGATGGACACCAGCAGCTTGCAAACGACGGGGACTAAACTTATTCCTCTGTAGTTGGAGCAGATTGTGCGCAGGCCCTTTTTGAAGATGGGTACGACTATCGATTCACCCCAAGATGATGGAACCTTCTCTTTCGACCAAATTTTCGAGAACAAAACGGTGAGTTCTCGGACCAGCGATGCGCCACCATCTTTAAATAGAGCTGGGTGAAGACCATCAGGGCCGGGAGCTTTATAACGCTTCAGGTGCCGGAGCTCCTGCTCGATTTCCTGGGAAGAGGGAGGGTCTGTTGGGGTAGACCACTCGGCCCCAGCGCGAGCGCCCGAGGTAGCAGATGGAGCTGCGGGCCAACAAAACTGTGAGCCAAAATGTTCGGCTCATCGCTCCAACCGTCGTTAAAGATTGGTGATTAAGGTGCCATCCTCTTCGCATATTGTTTCACTTATACCAGATCGAACACCTTCGGTGACTCGAAGGAGATGGAAGAGTTTCCTGGTATTACCACAGAGACTAGCAAGCTCCATCTCCCTAGCACGTTCACACCACCAAGCTTCGCGGTCCATTTGCAGACTCCTGCGCAACTCTCGACCAAGGTATTGGCGTTCTTCAACGTGTCTCGAATCCGATGGGATCAAGCGGCGTTTGTCCATCAGCGACAAGGAGTCGGCGGAAATCCAATGTTTCGGTGGGTGACGGGTAACTCCACAAGTGTCGATACTGGCGGAAACTAACGCATCTTTGATATGCGCCCACTGCGAATCGAGATCACCGTCAATAGTTGAGCCAAGCAAAGTTGACAGTGAGGCTTGGTACCTGGTTAAAACCGCAGCGTTTTGTAGATTTGCGACGTCCGGTCGGTAGTGGGCGTGCTTAGGTGATCCTCCGAAACGCATGCAAATCTTAGCACGAACCAATGCGTGATCAGAGTCCAGAAAAGTTGACCAGTACGATCGGCAGTCCATTACGCTTCCGCGCCATCTGTAGCTGATTGCTATGTGGTCAAGCTGGGAGCACACTTGCGTTTGTGAGGGCGGGCGCCAGGTAGCAGTCTGTCTCCTCGAGTGTCGAAAACTAGTGCTCGAAAGAAACAAGCGATGATCAGAGCAAGGAGCAAGTAGTCTGTCTCCATTGTCTGATCGACTGCCACCGAGACCAAAACTACCCCCAATGTGGTGCTCGCTTGGTAGAAGGCGGCCAACCCGTGCGTTAAAGTCCCCGGCAAGAATGACTATATCCGTCCGTTTGGAGGAACGCAGAAGTTCATGTAGTTGTTGGTAAAAGCTATCTTTAACTGCATCCGGGCTGCAGTCTGTAGGGGCGTAGGCGGAGACGACAAATAAGGCACGCTTCACATCTCGACGCCTGCTTACGTTACATGAACCTCTTAGTCTGACTGCACATAGTCGGCTGTTGACTGGGATCCAGTCAAGCAGAGCTGATTCAGCCCTGGCACTTAATACAACCCCAACACCAGCTTGACCAGTGGCGGCAGATTCTGGGTCTCCGGAAAGCCGCAAGTAGTATTTGGCGTCAGAGTTTACCGGAGAGGCCGTTCTGATGACGGCGCTAGAGTCTTGTAATCTGGTCTCTGAAAGACAACAGATGTCTACCGATAGCGCTTCAAGAGTACGGGCCAGACATGCTTGTCGTCCGATCTGCATCAAAGTTCGAACATTAAACGCTGCGAGGATGAATGGAGAACCAGGTCGGAGAAGAGCTGGAGCTTCGGTGGAGTGAGAGACGGTTGCGATCGCAGGACATTGAGAACCGGGAGTTTGGCTGTTACTTCCATCAGCTGCGAGACGTGGGTCGTTTGTGACGGTGACCGTAGAAGACATAAGAGTACATGTAGATGAAGGACGGGAGGTGGGGTGGTCTGTGAGTGGACGTTGAGCGGTTGAGTTAAGACAGAAGAGCGGCATAGCAGTAGTAGTAGTGAGCGGTGTAGTCCATGATTCGTCAGCGGGCGTGATACTACCCGGTTGCCCAGGCCGAAGTAGAGGGTTGTCTTAGGGGGCCCTACCCCGAGCCTTTGATCAAAGATCTAACCTACAAGGCAGCAGGGCGATGTGAGGGCGTCGCAACCCGTTGGGAGCCGGTGACCAAGTAGATGGTTTATACGCCTTTCGGTCCGTGAAGGACCAGAGCTTGTGCCTACAATAATAAGTCTGACAAGCGTCACAACCTTTCAGACGATAACATGAAACACTTTGTTGGGTTTTACACTAATTCCCATTTTTGAATCATAACTATGTATATAGTGAATGGATGTGCCTGGATTTCTGTTCATTTTTGTCTCCGCGTGAGAAGCACTGAATTTTATCTTAGCGCCGTAGAAATTCCGCGAAATTTTCCATTTTGATCCCGGAATATTTTTTGCCACCGCGGAAAACCAGTGTCTTTAGTTGTCACCAATTGGTGGACGTGGCATTTTTGGTAACCTTCACTTGAAACTATCTCTGACGCCCCTTTAGTAGTAGATATTTGACAACTGTAACATGTGCGTGACGTTGCTCTGCGAGCGCATCATTGGATATCCCCAGTGCCGTTTGTGACAAATCGGTACGCGTTTTCAGTTTGGTTTGTCGCGTCACATATTCTGTGTATCTTGACTGGAAGCATCAGGCAGCCCGCGTCTCGTTTTAAGCCATTCGGTACGTATGGTATTTTTTGCATTGGAATTCACGTGCACTTTCTACACCTCTCTGTACCGTTTCCTTATTTTATAGTTCCTCCTTTTGCTTTACCTTCTGCACGTTCTGGGCGATTGGTTCAACTTATTGACTGTAGTCACCATTGGTAAGTTTTTTACCTGTGATTAAACATGATAGATATCCACGAATAACCGAATGCTTCTTGACAAGAAGCGACAAACGTTTTCACTATCATATGGGACGTCACAATCATAAGCTATCCGATAACTCGCCTACAGTTATTAAGCGGTACTACTTGGTTTAACCCAGCCGATCCACAGCTAAAAGTCGTTGCACTGATTTGGCTTGGTATTCACCATGTGCGTTTGCTTACCTTGTTTTCCGCATGTTGGTCGTTTAACTTACCTAACCTGGAGTGCCTTAAGTTCTGTTACGGCTAACCTCTTGATAGTGGGAACCAACAATTTCGGTCAACTTGCTCTTGGTTTAGCAGTTGCCGTTCTCTGTATCGATAAATTATCTGATCCAAGCGATCCACTATATACAGCTGTTGGTCGGCTTAATATGTCAACTGTATCTGAAGGATAACTCACACTTAGGGGCGGATGCTGCTGTGGATGACGTTAACTACCGTCTTCTCGATTGCTACTTCCAATAAACGAGGGGTTGCACCCTAGCAGCTGCCCCGTGCACGTTTGACACCCTGCATTTCTCCCCTGTTACTGTGCAGGTTGTCAACTATGTCCTCGGCACCAAAGGGTGATAGCCTCCTCGTCCTAGCAACACTGTTTACCAACAATGGTGGAAATGGACAGGGCAAAAATAGGCATACGGATCCGAAAACACTTTTCGGACAAGGATGGACAGTGTTTAGATTTGATATAGAAGGTAGATAACTCAGTTAGTTCATTCGTTAGACGAACTGTTCGCTGAGTTTGGTCATTTTACTGCGAACGTTTTGGTCACCAGCCGAGGTGGCATCTCTTCAGTGCGTTATTGTGTAATGGCTCCGAGCGACACATCAACAATACACACTAACGTGCTGATAATGTCACTTCAATTGGTGACGAAACGTTTGCATTAAAATTATCAAGCTCAGCGAACAGTTCATCAAACGATGATCACCTTTAGTTATTAGATGGAAATTTTTGTACATCTGGATGCAGATGTTCTGTTGGCTTCATGACTGTACAATATGGGCCTCTCATACGGGTCCTATCCACGTACGTAACGTGTATCAGCCTAAGTACGCTGCAGTAGCTCCACTGGGGAATACCTACGAGACTCACTTAGAGACCAAACCGTCGCAATTGGAGACTAACCTGATCACTGACGTAATCGTAATCATCTCAGTTTTAGCTATTGGGTCATCCATTCGGCTACTATCTCCTCGGTTTACATTGGAAAGGGCGGCACAACACGGCACGTTACCGGTCGGTTGTGTTCGCCCTCCCTTTATTCTAGTGAAGCACCAGCCCCGATAAATAGTGTTGTTTATTGTCACACTTTGACAACACCAGACGTTAGCTTATTATAGCATACTGCATGTTGCGTTACGCTTTGCAGCGAAATATCGTTTGGGGATCTTTTCGCATATGTTATTCGTCTGCGTTGTTTAAGGTCCTCTTTATGCATTCAGTGATGTATCTTATGCTGTCACTATATTCGTGCACTAATGGAGTCCATTTGAATTAGATTGCTTTAACGGCGTTTCTCTGCGTTAGGATGAATCGATTCTCCTATCAGATAATTCAGTGATCCCACAATTATGCATGTCTAACGTGTTGACAACCTGTCAAAAACTATCCAACTTGTCACGATATATGGACTGAACCTCTCTTTCATCGCTGATACCACATCAACACACACCAGCCGGACCGGCTGGTTTAGCGCGTCAAACTAACCCACTGACCATCGAGACGTTAGCTAATCTCGTCTGGTTGCTGTCTCATTCCTTCTCCAGCTTCATCTGCAAATTTCTAGAGTCAAAAGCGTTACATGCTTGTTAAGCGTGCGGTTGGACTGTTTACTTTTCTAATCACCGCGAAATTATGCTTGAGTAGCGGTTAAAGTGTTTCGCTTGTATCCAAGGATTGCAACATCGACGTCTGAATGACGCCGTACCACTGGATCGATCGCACACACTTACCTTAACCGTGACAGGCGTGTGGGCACACAACAATTGCGGTTAGTACTTTTACGTGTGCAATAATGCTTCACTCGCGAAGCGATTATGGTTTAGTGCAGCAGTTCCGGTTGGGATTGGTACTGTAACTAAAATGCTTGTGCCATCCATTATGTCTACATCAGTCGACCAGTTAGCACATCGTACCACCTAACTTGTCGGAGACGCCACGATTCATATTGCATGCTCCATTTAGGGTAATGGCTGTCACTTATTGATTACGATTACCTCGGTTTACTTTTTCGCATGAGACTGTATTGTGCATTAACATTTCCGACAAACCTCCGCTGTTCGCAGGATATCGTTCTTTGGATACTGATTCCTCCCTCTGCACAAGCACACCTGGATGTAGTGCAGCAAATGACCAGATACCTTAGATTTTGTTGCATGCCTAAAGAGTAACTGGGCCGATATACCACCCTCTCATCCTCACTGAATGACCATTTGAAGTTGGCAATCAATCCGCTTAGCTAGATAGCTGTTCCATTTCGGGCGCTCGGACAGCGGAAGGGGCGACTGCGTGCATTGTTGAAGCCTAGTTGCTTCTTACGCTCTGACCGCCCATGAAAGCGGTGGTATCTAAATTTACCAGTCATTAGATGATCTTACCACCTTACAACGCTGGCAGTGGTATAATATTGATTACATACGACCATTATGTATTGAATATCTAAGAGCTTGGTCTTCCTTGAACACCGTGTCGCACTACCGCGACTCCGGAGGCCGGCTAGGGGTCTACGGAAAGCTGTCTCCTGAACTCCCCACGGCAAATGGGACTCACCATTATACATATATATATATATACATATATATATATATATATATATATATATTGTTGGCACATTGCTTTCTGTCCTTTCCGTTGTAGGGTGGACGCACAAGAGTATCCTTCAACTCTGCAGGCACTTGCTCTTCCATTAAGACGGCTTCCCAATCAATGCAGTGTGCGTATCATACATAGTTCGCCGTTCTTCGGTATTCCCGGTGGTATACCATCAGCACAAGAATATTTCTCATCCCGCAGTTGAGCAAGCACCCTTTGTGTTTTATGCAGTCCCAGAGTGTCCTCGAGTTCGCATAGTACACCATGGCGTTGCAACCCGTGCAGCGTGTCCCAGTCAACCTCAGATTGATTGTTCAGGAGGGTATCAAAGTGTCTGCGCCACATCTGCAGGATGTTTTCAGATTGTGTTTAGACGGATCACATCGCATTGGCCTTCAGGGTTTTCCTCGGCTGCACCGTTGGCTCGCACTCTGCCTTCAAGGAGTCATAGGATCCTCTGCTTGTGGTGCTATCTGTCGTCATTCCATCAGTCATTGTATATCCCAGGGGTCTGTGAACCTGTTGGAATCCATAAGAAACCTCCCGGTTGGCTCTGAGCACAATGTGCGGACTAAAGTGGAGGCTGCGGGCTGACAAGGAAGCCTGGTGGAGAAGTCGGGCTCAAGAAATAAAGGAAGCTGGAACAGTAGGCAGTTATCGCAAGCTCTTCCAGCTGACCTGCACCACTGGTCCCTGTAAACCAGGCGTCAGTGAGGCAATCAGGAACAGCGCGGGTGCCATGATTCCCAATAAGGAGCGCCGTATGGCTCGTTGGGCGAAACACTTTCAAGATCAGTTCACTTGGCCCCGTCCTCCTACTCAAATGATGCAGGCTGAGCCATGGCTGGTTAGTTTAACGGCTCCATCGGAGGCTGAGGTCCGAAGCGGGATCATAGGCCTCAGTCGTTTATGTGCTGTTGGCCCGCATTCTCTCGAACCTGCACTATTCACAGATGTTGGTGAGGTCCTCTGCAAAGCATTGACCCCCTGTTCTCACATAGATGGAAGGAGAAAACCGTCCCGGCTAACTGGAGTGAATCGATTATAGTGGCAATGTACAAGGAGGGCAATCGCACATACTGTGCTAACCACAGCGGTATTAGCATAACGCCAGTTGTGACAAAGTTACTGGCCTTGAATCTCGTTCGTCGCCTCACTGTGGAACGGGAATCCCGTATTATGGAAGATCAGGAAGGTTTCCGCCCAGGACGTAGCTCTATAGACCATATATTCACTCTGCGGTAGGTGCTAGAGCAGCGCAACGCATACCGCAGACCGACAATAGCTGTGTCCCCGGATTTCAAGAATGCCTTCGATTCAGTCGACCGGTGCATTTTGTTCGGAACACTTGCGCTCTATACTCGAACACAAGAGGCCGCGTCAGGATCTATGGTGACTTGCCGAACGTCTTTCCGACAGCAAGTGGCGTTTGTTAGGGTTGTCCACCCTCCCCATTTTTGTTCCACTTCGTCGTGGACTGCATCATGGGGTGTTCCCTTACTGAATCTTATGATGCAGGCGTTGAGGTGTTACCTGATGAAAAGCTAGTCGATCTTGATTATACGGACGATATCGTCTTGCCGTTTAACGATGTTGGGGCGTTGCAATCGTCCCTGAATAGCCTCTAGAGTGGTCTCATTATTTTGTATGCGCTTCACGCCTTCAAGGTGTAGTTACAGGACCACCAGCCGCTTGATAGTCCATTGATCTTTGATTGTGAGAAACTCCATGTAGTTGATCACTTCACCTTCCTTGGCAGTCGTATCGGCAACGATGGACGCATACCAACTGAAGTCGGTTCACGTAGTACAAAAGCTGGGCATACTTTTTTGAATCTGCAACATCTTTGGCGACTGAAAGGAGTTTCCCTCGTCTGAAAGATCGTGTATACAAGGCCTCAGTGACGACTGTCCTAATCTGTGGGAGTGAGACTTGACCCCTTCGATCTGAGTTTCTGATACGCTTTCAAGTCTTTGATCATCGTTGCCTGCTAAGCATTGCTGGTGTCGGGTGGCACCAGCGTGTCTACAAGGATGGTGTGCGTAGGCGAGTAATAGGCAGTGATAACCAAGCTAGTTCCTTTAAACAACAGATATCACTGAATAAGTTTTGTTGGCCTGAGCACGTACTACGTATG